AGCCATCACCATGTGCTCGGTCAGCAGTCTGTTTGTGATGATCACCTGAATGATGGTATGTGTCTCTAGTACAAATGGGGAAATCTCGTGTGAATGTATGATTAGCACATTTGACACTGCTTTGGACAAGGCTAGACACCTGAACTAGTAACCATGTCACCATGCATTACGCTATCCTTATCTATGTAGATATCTAATCGGATAAGATATAGATCATCTAGACGCTATAGATAAGATAGATGCTGTGAAATTCTGTGACAGGCTCAGTTTGCAGCTCTAGTATCAGTGTAGGACTATAGCTCGTATAAGTTCTAGCAACAGTTAACCAGTTGAACTCCTGATCCTCAGTTGTTAGGTCCCTTAACAAACTCACCCTCTACTTTGTATCCCCTGGATTTAGGGTTAGGTTTCACAAGGTCACATCAATGCTCCTTTGATGTCTGATGTCAGCTTCATGAAGGTAGTTACCCCATTAGGTAGTTGACTCATATGATATCACTGAGTTATATTATCTGATTGTTTGTCCATATAGTGTCCTCTATGTGTATATAAACCCCCTAGGTAGAACACTAATGCTCAGTGCTTGTTACTCTCTCTCTCATCCTTGTCTTGATATCTTCACAGATATCTAAGACAACTCTAAGCCTTCTTACTTGCCTGTTGTCTAGTCAACACAGGTAAGGTTTCATAGCCACAATTTATTTCAACAGGACATTCTTGTCTTCAGCCATATTTTCCTTGCTTTTACAGGGAAAGACAGGCTGCTGGCTGCTACACTATTATCTCTGTTTTCCATTGGCAGTATGTCTATGTGCCCTGAAGACCTTCAGCTCAAGTGTGTGCTGCATTGGTCAGCCCCTCCTACAGGTTGCTGAGCATGGGAAAATCACCCAAGGTGAGGGTAAGAAGCAAAGAGGAGCCCCATAGGCAAATTCAAATCCTTAGACACAACTTCGGGGTACCTATATCCACCGAGGAATGAAGAAGAATTGAATGGCGTTCGGATATTCACGGTCGGTAGATGCCGAAGCAAGCACCTGGCTAGTAACAAACTCGCCCGTTCAAGATTCCCTTGGGCCAGCCCTCGTTTGTCCTCCCAGCGCTGTGCGCGATTTCCAGCCCCGCATCTACCCCACCACGTTGGCGCATCCGTCACCCGGTGTATCTAAGCTCTGTAGTCCTCAAAACCGCGCTACCGTTGGGGCAGGTCGAGAGAGACTACGTTAACGTTAGGAGCTGGCAACGTCGTTAACGTCTCCCGTGTCAAGGGCGTGCCAGCTCTCTGGATGTGTTGTCGCTGGAGCATGTTGAGCCTGTCTGTGATGACCATATACGACGCACGTACCCGTACATGCGCTATAATGCGCAGTGTGCCAACCGGAAGCACAGCAGCGTCCCCGCGGCGATGGTTGGAAATGTACGGATGAGCTGGGATCGGGGGAGGCGACGGTTTCTGTCCGACACACGCAAGAATTCTGTGCGTTATGCACAGGCGTATTCCCGATGCTCTCGGCGATGAGGGGATGCTAGGACAGTAACGTGTATTCCAGGTGAGCCGGACACACTCACCGTCTCCATGAACATGTCGGCCACAGATTCGGTAGGTCGGACATTTCTATCGTCGAACGCTCGGTGGCGATCGAGTAGGCCTTGCTCAGACGAGTACCAGCCGTACCGTGGTGAATCTACTTATACGCGCCCTCACTTGTCTACAGACTCCATGCAACAAGCCTAACGTCAACCTCACATATGGACCATCATCTCATAACATGCGTCTTGTAGTGCTTCAGTTGGAGGTGCGTGTCCAAAGTCCTCTGGGCATCCTTGCTACCTACAATAAATGGGCCCTATCGTTCCCTTCTCGTGTAACTATGCTTAAATGCGGCGGAGTGCACCAAACATAGCTGCCGTCGAGCCTAAAACACCACACACTTAGGTGTGCACCCACTATCATACTGCTCTAGTCTAGATGTGTCTTTTGACAAATCTAGTGAAACTAGAAGGGGTTGCCACATTCAGTGCGAGACTGGATTTTAGGTCGGGGACAGCAATGTTGCGTTGGACGTCCAGAACGCTAACGCAGGCTGTTTCTCGGTGATCATTGAGGGTAATCTCAATGATCCCGTCTTCGTGCATTTTCTGCTTCGAGGAACGTTGGCTGCATGATTTTCCGCGATTATCCGCTTTCTGATCGAGCAAAGGACCCGCGGAAGGACGGGAGCGTATCTTTTGTCCGTATGAACTCTACGCGGATGGGCAATCTATTATAAGCGGTGTAATTATGGCTCTATTGAACGCAAAGGTCTCCTGTTCGCAGAGAATCTCTGCTGGATTCAGTGCTGCCCCGGAATTGTTGTTCCAGATGTTCAGCCACCATTCCAAGTTCCGCCCTTCCTTGCCTGTCACGAGCGCATGATGTTTACCCTCTTCTCGCTGACCGCACACTGGCAGTTCAACTTACTGCCAGGTATCGCAACGTATTCATTTAACATCTGCACTACTTGCGACTCGTAACGAGAATAGGGTTATGAAAGACGCATCACTAGCTTGTGAAGTCTGCTTGAACTACTGGACGTTCGGCGAATTGGAGGTGGACATGATACCGACTATGTCCTGTATGCGGGCTGTCTTGCTAGCGTTGATCTAGAGCAGGGCAAAAGTGTCGCACAGCTGTGCAAAAATACAACGCACACCGCTCATTCCTCGGCCCTCTTTCGCTAACCCCATTAACTTGCCCTCAACTAAAAAGTATCATCCTTTGAATCTCTACGCATCTTGTCTTCTGGTAAGCCTGCGGCGCAACTCGACACACCGAAAGATCCACGTGCCACTTTAAAGCCTAATGCAATGTTTTGGTTCAACAACAGAAACAGGAACGCCGTGCAGGCTGCAAAACACAGTGCATTCTTCCTCCCCCGATCAGTCATCGTTCGATTATCTTTCAGCTCGGAGCTTGTTGATGCATCCAGTAGGTATGAGGCTAGTGATGGGAGATGTCTTGGCTAGCTTGACAAGGCAGATGAAGTGGAGGGTGTGAAAATAGTGGAATATCAATATATCAATAGTCACAACAATTGGGAATCACGAACATCCCCAACTTTCATGACTCTGCGACATCAATTCGGCAATAGAATGACAGAACAGAGTGTTGGATTTATGATTCAATCTCCAAGGTAAGTCCGTGCATCGATTCTGATGATGCATTTATATCTTCTCACGTCCAGTTGGGGCAACCATCCGAAGGTTTGAGCGTGTAAGGGGTTCTCAAGCTGAGTAAGCAGCCAGTCTTCCATTCTGATGATGAACATGTACACAACTTTCACACCAAGACGCGGGCTGCTCCGTACGGAGCTGACCGCCTCTTGAATGTTGTATACAGTCGCACCAAATACACTATAGGACCTGAATACTCTGATTGCCTGCCAGAGGAGAACTGATTGTTCGATCGTGTAGAGTTGGGACACTTATCCATCAGGGTCTGCTGTTTTGAGGATGCAAGGCTATTAAATTCCAGGTATCTTGTCAAGAGCAAGTCTGTATCGAATACGCTGGAAACAGTGGGGATACTGCGGGTCACATATACCACCACGCTCAGAATCATGTCATTGAGGGCCACGCGTGTGACCCATCTTGCTCAATACATAAGCCCAAAACCCGTAAAAGGTTCTTCAAGGAGGTACGCGACAGTATGTTATTTCTCGATCGTTCTAGATTACTTATACTCATTCATACCGTGTCGTAGTAAAAGCCATGGTTAATCACACTATCCATATAGC